AGTTTGAGCGTCAGCACCGTGGCTCTGCGCACGGTGTGGCCGGGCTCAGTGAGGACCGCGTGGGAGTGGCACCCATTTGCATCTCCACAGTGAAGGCTGTGTGCTGCACACGTGAGGCTGTGCCCGGGGGGCCCAAGAGGTGCTGGTGCCTCCAGCCACTGGCAGTCATGGGTCCTGTCCACGTATCTGCTTCCTCACTGGACCGGGCTTTCTCGTGGACAGGAGTGTTTTGTTCCCCGTACCCGCTCTCTCCGAGAGCGATTTCCAGCGGGGCCCAGTGTCTACCTGTAGCCACAGCGGTGACATGCCGAGGTGTCCTCTCACGTAGAGGAGCTCAGTGAATTCCCACCAGAAGCCACTGGCCACGGCTCCCATCGTTCTTGTTCTTTGGATGAAGAGGCTGAGTCACAGGCCCTGCGGCTGGGATTGGCCCCTAGAGGGTCCCTAACCACAGGCCAGGACCAGCTGTGCTGCCTCTGCTTGAGAGTAAAATGGTAAAACGTGCAGTTTTCAGAGCCACCAGAGATGCAGCGAGATGCCCAGTGCGGGGTGGGGGTGGGGACCCTGGTGCTGTGGTTGTTACCGTTTCATTTGCTGTGCTTTATCTACTGTGCCTTGTTTCTTCCTGGCCTTAGGCGGAAGGTGCTCTACCAGCGTGCGCCCAGGAATATCCACCGTCATGTGATCCTCTCCGAGATCAAGGAAGCTGTGGCTGCCCTGCCCCCGGTAAGGGAGAAAGGCTGAAATGGGAGCTTTGTGTCAGCCGGTCACATGAATGTCCCTTCTGCTCCGGGCGGTCCACGTGCAGACGTGCGTGGTGCAGGCTCCCTCAGCAGCCCAGCTCTGCCACGGCAGGGGAGGGGCTGGCACAGAGGGCGCCTCCTTTCCTGGCAGCCGGGGTTCGGATGCTTGTTGTTTTGAGGGAGAAATCCTTTGGGGCTCAGAGCGCGAGCTGAGTGGTCACCTTGGCGAGCTGCTCCGTCCGTGGTCGTCTGAGTGCTGGGCGCAGCTGCTGGGGTGTAGTCCTGCTCTGACACCTCCCGTGCTGGAGGTGCTGTTTCTATCTCAAAACCTAAGGATTTTATACTGTTGTTAAGGGGTGAGATAGAACGAGTGAGGAAACCAGCAGGTCGGAGGGTCGCAGGACCACAGAGCGTCCACTGGGGGCAGCTTAGTGCCTCCTGGTTTAACTTCGGCTGCTCTGCGGGCCCTTATGACCGGCGTGGCTGGCTTTGTCCGGGGCTGTGAGCTTCTGACTCTTCTTAGTTGAGTGGTAGCACGTGGCACTGTGCGTGGGGGCTGAGGGGCGAGGCAGCGAGTGCACCAGGAGCTCTGTGCAACCCGCGGGCGGCTCAGGGTCCCTGTAGCCTGCATTCGCTGAAGTGAGAGCTTCTGACACGTGGTGAAGATCTTGGCAGGCGTGAGCAGCACGTGACCCCCTTCCTTCCCCACCACATACTCCGGTGTGCAGGGCAGACGCCTCGCAGGTTCACCTCGACTCCCGTGAGTGTCCTGGTGGCAGAAGGACTGTCCCACCCTCACCCGAAGCTCGTTGGTACAAAAAGCACAGCCGTTTCTGTCAGACTCTGTGGCTATCTCTCAGCAGATGCATCCAGTCCACGCTGGAGTCGACTGAAGGACTCTGCTGGGAGAGGCAGAGGCCCCCCGGCAGCATGCGTAGCATCTTCGTTTTGTGTCCCTTTCTGAAGGACGTGACCACGCAGTCTGTGATGGGGTTTGACCCTCTGCCTCCTTCGGACACAATCTACTCCTACGTCAGGCCGGAGAGGTACCTCCCTCCTCCCAGTTCCCACCTCCCAGCTCCCACCTCCCACCTCCCATCTCCTTCCTTCCACCTCCCTCCTTCCACCTCCCTCCTCCTTCCTCTCACATCCCCTCCCACCTCCCACCTCCCAGCTCCCACCTCCCTCCTCCCACCTCCC